AAACACAAACCATCCCAAAACAGCCATGAATAATAATGAAAGTAATAACAATAAAGAACACAAACACAAAGTCACTCAGTCATGGCCGCAGGACCATGACAAGTATAATATAAACACAGTGAAGCTGGAGGAATTCAAACTTTTTTCCACTCAATAAAAGTTGAGGGTTCCCGATGGTTAGGAACAAATGCAATGGCATGGCAGGATGCTATAAACGGCCCAAACTTCAGTCAGGAATCATGAGAACAACTGAGGTAATCCATCCACAATACGTGGTTAGTCATTAATATACTGCAACAACACGGGAATGGAGCAGCTGCCAGAGAAGTCAATATTAATGAATCAATGGTACGGAAGAGGAGGAAGAAAGAAGAATGAGTTCAGTAAAGTTTGACCTATCTGACTGTTTTGTTTCGCTTAATGCGCCTTATAATCCAGTGCACTTTATGTATGAAAACAGACCCGTGCCTTATAATCTGGTGTGCCTTATGGTCCGAATAATATGGTAAATCACTCATGGTCAAACCAGTGTTCCTCTCTGTCCTGGGTATGGACACCCTTGCAATTGGAAATATGGCAGCCTGCCTGAAGGTGCAGATACATGGTAGATTCCTGGTCTGGTGACGTACATCTTCTGTGTTAAGCCATCCACTTACCCAGAGGTTGTTTTGTTCTCCTAAGATCTAGATAATGTTTATTGTCATATAGACAGTCTGAAGCAGAAAAAGACAATGCTATTCACCAGACCCTATAACACAGGGGAAACTACACCTAGTCTGTATGGTTTTCCTAAGATACTTAAAAAGGCATAACTGTTTAAGAACTGTTAAAGGTATACTGTCAGTTCTGTCACCCCAAAATTCTCCAAGGTTCTGGATTTGGTCCTCAACCCAGAGGGCTCCAAAACACCACATTCCTGAACACAGGAATGGAGAATGTGGGAGACACCATTATGGAGGCAGATGAAACAATTGCCTCTTAGGATGTTATGTCTCTTTTCACTTTGCCTTCCAGTTGCTGAAGCAGTGCACATAGTCTCTAAGACATTACAGGATTGTGAAGGGTGCGCTTCACAACAGGAACACCCTCAACACCAACCAAATATGTCTGCTCTTGGAACTAAGTTTTATTTCACATGCAAGGGACAGACAGAGAGAAACATGGATCCACCATCAGCTTCCCAATTTCACCTGGCTAACTTAACAGTAAAAGTACTGTAAATGAACTAATGGCTCTGTAGTTCTCTATTTTCTCCATATTCATTAGTACTATAACTGATATAGTACTGTGAAAAAGTCTTGAGCCACACCTCAATTCTTTATATACTGCTTCAAAAGATGCTCTTGTGGTCTAGAGGAATAGTTCTCCTTGCTAAAGCTCTTTTATACTTTTTTTCTTTGGACATTGGCTTCTTTCACTCAGTCCAGTCCTTGAACCTAATCTTTTTCAGACTTTCAAAAATTGTAAATTTTAATATTGTTGCTGATAGTTTTATATATAAATCCAATCAGTACTGAAAATCATTGTCAATGCCTGAAAAGTCAAGCATCAGAAAAAGAGTTAAGATTTGCTATTGATAAACATCATTCATAACTAAATGTGGTTATCCCAGCTGGGCATTTGTCAAAGTCGGGAACATGCATAAAGAATGATCCAGGCAATCTAGGACAGAAGGACCATTGCTCCTAAAGTAAACACTATTGGTAAGTTTTTATTTGTGAGGAGTATTGGAGCAGGTCAGACACAATTTTTTCAAAATAGAGTATTCTTTGGGCTTTCAACCCTCTATGCCAAAATTGGTCCACCCCAAGGATTAGCTCCACTGGTATACACAACTGCCAAGAGAATTGGTGTGAATTATACCATGGAGAAACAAAAAAAAAAAAAATTGGCTAAGCAGATGGCACAGCACAGAAGAGCAACACTTATGGTGCCTATTTACACCTACAGGCAAGTTGCCATTTGTTTAGTGATCAGTGCAATATACTGGATAGGGAGGAAGTAGGCCCATTACAGGACTATATATAAGGACTATATAGAAATTACTTTTTGTGCAAACCCTTTTGCATTTAATATTATTATGGCTTGTGCTGGATGAAACATTTTTCCCATTGAAAATGCCGTCTCCAGACAAACAGAATCAACTTTGATTTCCTCCTTTGGATTATTGAGTTCTGTCAAGGCAGAATAGCTGAAAAACTGAATATTGCGTGGCATGTGGCAGAGTGAGGAAACCCCCCAAAACAAAACAAAACCAGAAGACTATTAATATATTATTAATAATATAATATTAAAGTATATGAGCTGCTTTCTGACTTAGTTCATATTCCTTTTTTATTTTTGTGTTTCCTTGATTTATTTGCAGTGCTAAAACGGACCAGGAAGAGTAAGAATGATCTCATCAATGCAGAGGAAGGGGAGGACCACTTTACTGACATCTCATCTGTTGGTGAGGACAGTGCCTTAGATTTGTGATGGTTCTGTATGTTAAACACACAACATATCAATTGTCCCCACTGCAAACATTTACATCTGTTAATTGTAACATTAAAACCACTGACAGGTTATGTGATTAATTTGGATTATTTGTTAAACTGCAATATCGTGCTGGAAGACCTTGGGTCTTTATATGGCTGTTGCTTTGAAATGTTGGACTTTGTAGGACTTGGTCCCCTCCATAATTGTACCAGCAGGGACATGTTTAGCCACATGGTGTCCTTAAACTGCTTGCTCTCTGGCTGGTGTCCAAAAATGAAGTGGGCTTCATAGATAATTGGGAAATATCCTTGGAAACACTAGACCTTTTTGGGAGAAATTGTGTCCATCACACTTTACATGGAGCAGCTCTCACTTCTAGAATTCTAGACGAATTTATCAAACACCCCAAAATGTGACTGTCCAAAGTTTGAGTTTACATTTTACATGCATCTCTGAAGTTTTGCTCCTCCCCACTCCTCCAATATCTCATTCCCATAGAGACTGATACTTTTCTTATACTATCAAAAGCCAAATCAAAGAATAGCAAAAATCAATTTAAGTTTACAAATATGATACCTTCATATTTATCTCTTTATCTTTCAATATAAAGTTAATTCACACAGCTGTTGTTTTGAAATGACACTACAGCTTTGTGAATAAAATAGAATCGAATTGAACTGAACAGTCTGTAATCGTTTCAGACAGTTTTGCTGTCATGTTCAGGAAACCCTTTTGCTGTAGGCAGCAGTGCCTTCCAGCAGCAGGACAATACTTCCCATCACACAGCACAAACTGCATAGGAATGTTCTGAGGGAACAAAAAAGAGTCAGTGCCTTACTTAGTTGGCCTCCACACTTCCCAGATGATCTCAGGGATGCACCACAACAAGCCTAATTTCGAGACCCACTGAACCCACAAGATTAATATATCAGACACTAAAGGAGATAACAATAGACCCTTTCCTTAATAAGTCAGAGATGCTTTGGTAATAAAAAGGGTATCAACCCAAAATTAATTTTAATATTGTTGCTGATAGTTTTATCTATAAACCCAATCAGTACTGAAAATCATTGTCAAGACCTGCAAAATCAAGCATCAGTCAAGCTTGCTTATACTGTCTTAAATCAATACTATGTAATGGATACTTGAAAAGGAGTTAAGATTTGCTATTGACAAACATCATTCAGTAGATGGTGTTATTTTAATTCTGTTAAGCTGATTGCAGAAAAACAGAAAGTGAAATAAGAAAATCATAAGTAGAGGATGAAAAAGATTATACTGTTTATCAGGGCTTTCTGTGTCTTTAAAGGCTCTTAAATCTCCATCCATCCATCCATTCACTTCCGCTTATCCGTTTTTAGGGTTGCAGGGTCTGGAGTCTATCCCAGCTGTCATAGGGCGAGAGGTGGGGTACACCCTGGACAGGTCGCCAGTCACAGGGATACACAGGGACAGACAACCATTCGCACCTATGGGCAATTTTGATTTTTCAATTAACCTATTCCCACAAAGTGCATGTCTTTGGACTGTGGGAGGAAGCCGGAGTACCCGGGGATAACGCAAGCATGGGGAGAACATGCAAACTCCACACAGAAAGACCATGGCCTGATGGTGGAATTGAACTCAGGACCTTCTTGCTGTGAGGCAACAGGGCTAACCGTGCTGCCCGGGTCTTAAATCGGGTCTTAAATCTATTACAGGTCTTAAATGCTTTAACTCAAGTCACTGCAGTATCTGGTGCTGCTGTTTTAGCTTAATTTGCACATGTAGATTATGCACTTTGACTGCTTAAAGACTGTGTTTGGTCCGGGGCGGAAAACATACATAAAGGTGTTAAGAAGCGGACCCAAACACAGGTCTCTTCAGAGAGAAAACAGTGAATTTACTGTATCTACAGTGAAAAACAATAGGGAAAATATATACAAGTCCTGGAACTGGACACCCCAAGGTGGTGATCTTCAAAATCCCCACACAGTGCTCGCGTCCGTGAACATTGGAATGGCATATATCCAAACTCATATCCAATCTGTGACTCTGCTCCTGTTTCCTAGTAAAGATAAACACAATAAGTCAGCTAGGCAATCCGTCTTCAAAGCAAGGTTTTTCAAAAGCAAGTCCATGGCTGTACTGACGAGGTAAACTGAAGGATCGAGTGTCAACTGGACCTCAGCCACACTGTTAAATAAGACGCTCCTGATGCCGGTAATCAGCAGCAGCTGGCGGCGGCTGACGAGCAGCAGGTGTGGCTGCCTCCAGCACGAGAACACTTCTGGGTCAAAGGATCACCCGGCGCCCAATATTTCCGGGGGCGTGAGCATCAACTTTTATGCACATTACAGGGAGATGGAAAAAAGGAGATAGAACAACAAAATACTACACACGACAACAGAATATGCTTAACTAGACCATTGGGCAGGGTGACCCGCAAGGATCGCCAGCCCAGGGTAAACCTAAAACACATGGGCCCCCAGACAGGCCCATGACAGTCAAATTCAGAAGGCTATACACTAAAGTAGGAGAGCACCAAACTCTATCCTGATATATACATGATTTGAAACATTACCCTTAATTTTTTTAATTAATTGACAATAATTTATATCAAAAACTCCTAAATCAGACCAAATAGGAGTCAATTTAGGCCTGGCAGGCTATTGGGCTTTTCATAAAAGTAGCATGTTAATGAAAAATGGCTTTAGAATAATGAAGAATACTGGTGGTTTTAGCAACAACATTTTTAAATGACTAAATGCATAATCGCCACAAAATACTTTAACTTTACCTTATTCTTCATTTTGATTTGAGGTCAACATATTTTCTTGAAAAACACAGATTTTAACTTTTGAGTTATAGTTCCATCTTGAGTTTGGCTTAAATTTAAAAGAAATATTGCAAAGTTTTAAAATAAATTTGATAAGGCTTGTTGTACAGTATACAGTGTCAATAACAGCTAAGTAGAGACAAACATAAAACTGGATAATGTAGTCACTTAGGTGATACAGTATGAGTCAGAGGTCGTGTCATAAACTAGCTGTGTGGAGGCAGATGAGCACCCAAACGCAAAACTCACGGAGACAAAAAGCTGAACTCAAAATCACTGCTTTATTGCAGGCTTCACAAAGAAACAGAACTAAACTGGGAATGCTAACTGAGGACCGAGGGAACACAGAAAGGCACACAGGCTTGCGCACACAAATTTTAGAATAATTTATATAATATAATGTGTTTTTCTG